TTCCTGGACTTGTAAGTCTATTTCTTTCACCAGGTAGGGGAAGTTTTCTGTCATTATTTCTTCAAATAGGTTTGTTTTCAATATCTTGCTCTCTCTCTTCTAGCACCCCCATAATTCGGATGTTGGTATGCTTGAAGCTGTCCCAGAGGCTCCTTTCACTATCTTCCTATTTTTGGATTCTTTTTTCATTTTGTTTTTCTGGTTGGGTGTTTTTTGCTTCTTCGTATTTCAAATCTTTGACTTGATTCTTGGGATCCTCTAGTCTGCTGCTGGATTCCTGCATATTATTCTTTATTTCAGACAATCTATGCTAAATTTCTAATTGGTCCTTTTTCATATCCTTAAGGGTCACACTAAATTTCTCGGAGGTTTCTAGACAATTCTTGAGTAACCTTATAACCGTAGTTTTGAACTCTATATCCAGTAGTTTGCTTTCCTCCATTTCTGTCATTTGTCACCTGTTTCTTTGTCTCCACATTTTGGCTGCTTCCCTGTGTTGATAGAGTGGCTTTGTGTGCTAGGTGTCCTATAGGGCCCAGTGGCTCAGCCTCCCTAGTCACTGGAGGTGGACACTCTTGGTGCACCCCTTTGTGGGCTGTGTGCATAGTCTTGTTATAGTTAAGCCTTGATTGCTGTTGGTATCATTGGGAGGAATTGACCTCCAGACCAATTGGCTATGAGGACCAGTTTTGTCTACAATGGGAGAACTTCTGTGCTGCAAACACCTTTTGGGGGCAGGACTTGTTTCAGTAGGGCTCTGGTGCTCACTGAGTCTGCCCCCTGAGTGTGTCTCTTATGGATCTGAAGAGTTATAATCTGGTGTGGTCTCACTCTCACCATTGGGCACACTGGCTCTTGGATCTCCAAGCAGGTGTAAAGTCAACCACTGCCTGAGGCCACCCATCAGGAGCTACAGAGAGATCTTCAGATTCCTCCTCTTTGTTTGGGGTTTGGAGGTGCACAGATGAGGTGCAGCTGTGAAGCAATGCAGGCTGCTGATGAGCCTTAGGCCTTCTTTTGGAAGCTCTGGGGTTCTTTGACCCAGCTGCAGTTTGTTAGGTTTCAGATTGCAAAAGGCCGGGCCATTCATATGCAAAAGCCTCTGTGTACAGCTTGGGTGGGGTTGTAAATTGGGTGGGGTGGGGTCTCAGGGAATCATGGGCGGTGCAAACAGCAATGGTTGCTCATTGGCCCTGCCCTGTTAGGTCCCTGGGTCTCTGTGTCCCACAGCCCTGTGCAGGAACAATGATCACTGCAAACACCTCTGCAGAAAGCTCCGCCCTAGCTTTCTGGCCCGATGCCAGACAGTCCAGTTTCTCCCTGTATGAGTCTGGGTCTCCAGAGTTTCACCCAGAACTGGAGTTCAGAGCAGTTGGGAGTTTGTATTTCCCTCCCAATTGAAAAAGACAACAGCGTAGCCAGTTGCCAGCCCATTTTGCATGCCTCAATACCTCCACTCTTCCATACCTCTGTACCTCCTACCAGTCTAGATGCGCTTTTCTTTTTCCCTCTAGTTGTCGGACTTCCACTCAGCCAGCTTTCCTGTGGTTCTGGATGATATCTGTTTTGTCTTTTAGTTGTAGTTTTGATGTGGTTGTGTGAGGCAGCAAGTTCAGGTGTTTACCTATGCCACCATCTTGGTTCCTCCTTCTTTCAGTACTTTAAATATACCATCCCAATGCCTTCTGGCCTCCATTTTTTCTGATAAAGAGTCAGCTGTAGTTCTCCTGTATTTGATTAGTCTCTTTTGATTGTGATGAGTCATTTTTCTATATTTTGTGCCTTTATTTTATCTTGTTTATTTTAATTTTTTTCCATCACCACCTTTTTTACCCTTTTATCTATTTACTGGAGGCCCAGTGCATGAAATTTGTGCATGGGTGTGGGGGGCTTCCGCAGCCCAGCCTGCACCCTCTCCTAATCCAGGACTGCTGGCTCCTAACCGCTCGCCTGCCTATCTGCCTGATTGCCCCTAACCACTCACCTGCCTGCCTGATTGCTCCTAACTGCCTCTGCCTGCCTTATTGCCCCTAACCTCTCTGCCTGCCTGCATGATTGCCCCTAACCACATCTGCCTTGGCCCCCGCACCCAGGACGTGGGCTTCCCTCCCTCTGGCCTGGCCACAGGCACCAGGGACCCCGGGTGGCTTCACCTGGGCCCTGGCTTTGCCAGGAAGGATGTCCAGAATGACGTCTGGAAGGTGTCCAGTCTATCCAGTCTAATTAGCATATTACCCTTTTATTAGTATAGATTTTTTTTTACCACCTCTTTTTTCTTTAAAGATTCTCTCTTTGTATGGCTTTCAATGGTTTGACTATGATGTGTCTAGGTATGGATTATTTTGTGTTTGTCTACTTAAAATTTGCTGAGTTTTTGAATGTGTAAATTAATGTTTTTCATAAAATTTTGGATAATTTGCCCAGCTGGTATGGCTCAGTGGTTGAGTGTCAACCCATGAATCAAGAGGTCACAGTTCAATTACCAGTCAGGGCACATGCACGAGTTGTGGGTTCGATCCCCAGTGAGGGGTGGGCAGGAGGCAGCCAAACAATGATTTTCTGTCATCATTGATGTTCCCAACCTCTCTCCCTCTCTCTTCCTCTCTCTGAAATCAATAGAAACATATTAAAAAGAGAAACTTTCCCTCTGAAACTAGATCTCTAATATCTCTAGATATATATTTGGATGATTTGGCCATTATATGTATGTATATATGTATATGTATATATATTTGGATGATTTGGCCATTACTTCTTCAAATACCTTTTTAAAATTTATTTTTCTTTATTTAGTAAGGTATTACATATGTATCCTTATCCCCCCACTCATGCCCTCACACCCCTGGTGTCTGTGTCCATTGGTTATGCTTATACAAATACTTTTCTAAAAATATGTTTTTATTGAGAAAGAGGAAGGGAGAGGGATAGAGAAAAACACTGATGAGAGAGAAACATATCAGCTGCCTCCTGAATATCCCCTACTCAGTACTGAGCCCAAAACCTGGGCATGTGCCCTGACCAGGAATCCAACTGGTAACCTCTCAGTGCATGGGACAATACTCAATGATCAATCAACTGAGCCACACTGGCCAGGGCACTTCTTCAAATACTTTTAATGTACCTCCCCCTCTTGTTCTGGGCCTTCTATTATTTGTACATCAGTATGCTTAATGGTGTGTCACATGTCTCTGAGGCTTTGTTCATTTTTCTTTCTTCTTTCTTCTCCATGTTCTCAGATTAGACAACTTTTACTAATGTAGCATCAAGCTTTCTGGTTTTTCTTCTGTTAGTTCAAATCTACTTTGAGCCCTCTTGGCTAACTTTTCATTTTAGTTATTATACTATTCAGCTCTATTTTTTTCCACTTGGTTGTTCTAATTTCCATATCTTTATTGATATGTTGTATTTGATGAGCAATTATCATCATAATTGTCTTCTTCAGCTATCTGTTAATTTATTCTGACTTCCTTGGGCTTACCCATAGATAGGACACAACACAAAAGAAGAAATACAATCTCATCATTTGTGTTTTATGGTTTTTCTTCTTCTAGCATCTAGAAAAGCTCTATGGAAATCTTGGAAAGAAAGAGTTATAAAGAGACCTGCAACAGTCCATGCTTTAACACCAAATCAGATGATTGGTGATGAATTTGCAACAAATACAAAGGTTTCAGAAATTCAAGCCATGCTACAGGAACTCATAGATACTACAATGTTCAATAAATTGGAAAATAATGCTATTAACTATATAGCATCGACAATAGAAAACCTTTCTAAAGCGTTGAGTTCACTAAATAATGAAGCAAAAATTATTAACCTCCATCCTGAGATATGTTTAAGTGAGGAAAGTGGTAAAAAGCTCTCCCTGCAGATAATACAAGAGCTCAGTGAAGAAAATGAAAGGCTTCAGCGGAAACTTCAAGAAGCAGAAGAAAAATATGAGCACTTTATTAAATTCAAAGCATCGCCCACATCAACCGTGAAGGTGTTATATGAGTTTTCTCCAAAATCATCCATGGGCTTTAGCATGACTGATGAAGCAGCGAGTATGGACAATATTTTGATGAAAGAATTTGAAAATAGAATGGATGGGGCCCAAAGAAAGGAGACCCAAGGCTCAGTGTTAAAGTGGGACTCAGCAAGTTCACATACAGCCCAAGTTGAAATGACTCCAGATTTAATTGAACAGCAATTCCCTTTACTTGAAAAACCCCCCAAAATACCTTCCAAAGATATCACTGAAGATAAGATATCACTGAAGAAAGGTGACATCTATCAGAAAGGTTGGACTGATGAGTATCAATCACAGAAAAGGAAGATCACAAAAACCCCATATGAGTTTGAGACCTCTAGATCAGATCTGAGTAATCAGACAAGTAAACAAATAGTCTCAAAGACCAAAGTGGACTATGACTTAGATCTACAAGCACAGCGAAAGACGAGTCAAGAAATACAGCCCTTTTCTATAGCCAAATCAAAGCCATTCATTGAATCAAAAAGTCAACATGATCTTTCTAATTTCCCTTCTACTGACACAAAGAGCCAAGGTGGCAAAAGTGGAACAAGTAGTAAGTGGGAACGACTCAGGAAGTACAAAATTGCATATATACTTGAGAAATGCCAAGTTATTTCAGACCACAAAAAGAAATCCACCACTGAGTTAATGGCCAAAGAGAGTAAAAGTGTTTTGAGTTTCCAAGCAGTGCCATTTGGGTCAACCCAACCTGATAAATCCTCTGAGAAAGTACAAATAAAAGGAAAGGAACATCAAATCTCTTCAGAAATTACCACAAGCAAAGAAGGAAAAACTGAAGAGGAGGACACGTCAGTCTTTACCAAGAAGGACAAGTCTCAAGAACTTGTTGAATCACAATCTAAGACAACTAAAGAGACTTCAGAATCTTCTACAGTTCTAGGAAGTCCAGAGGGCAAAAGTGAACAGGCTAATCTAGATGAATTTCACAACGCCATAATGTCTTTCTTAAAAGAGAAAATTGATAACACAGAAAATCCTTTGGATAAAAAGATTGTGCTGGAAGAAGAGTTATTATTAAAAAAAGCAGAAGTTGAAAAATTAGGAATCATAAAGGCAAAAATGGAAGAATATTTCCAAAATGTGGCTAGAGCTGTGGCAAAAATCTTGAGAAAATACAAAGACATTAAAAAAGCAGGACAAATTAGAGAGCAACAAATGAAACAAACAAGAGTCTCATTTATGCCAGGACTACATTTACAGGAGCCAGTTAGTCCAACGTCTGAAATTAGCTCCTTACTCTCATCTGAGAGCATGGACCCAGTAGTACAAAATTTAACACAAGAGATCTTGACTGAAATAGATGCTCCAGTCGTCTCACTAGCAGACCATAAGGAGGAGGAAAAACAGAGGCAGGAGGAATATTTGCTAGAGGTTCAAGGAGAAAGTTTTAATATGAATCTTAAACACCAGTTGCAAGAAGAAAGAAATCTCTGGAAGATGAGCTATCAGAGGATACACAAGGATTTGCAAAAGCTCCAGCTGAAGGAAGGAGAGCAAGAGCAACAGAAGCAGGATCAGTGGCAGGAAGAAGTGTGGGAGCAATATCAAAAACAGAGGATGCAAACGCAGACTGAGCAAGATGAGAAGCAAAAGGGAATGGAAGAGGAAGAAGAGCAGAAGCAAAAGCAGCAGCACCTGGAAGCATGGAGGCAAAAAATGAAAGAGCAAGGAGTGTCCTTGGAGAAGGAGAAGGGACAGCAGATGGAGCAGCTTCAGAAGGAAGTGAAACATATGGAACTGGAAAGTAGCTGGAAGGAAGAGGAAGAGAAGCAGAAGCCAAAGAGAAAGGGAAGAGACGATGAAAGTCAGGGGCATAAGAAAGCAAAGGAGCAGTTGAAGATTAAGGAGGAAAGACCTGAAGAACTAGAAACTGTGTTAAGTTACAGTTCAATAAGATTGACTCCCAGGTGGAAGAACACATGGAAACGTGCATTACTGTTACGCACAAAAAAAGAGTTCCATGGGAATCTTGCTGATGAAAAGCGCTCCGAACTAGTCATTCCTCCCACCCCGACACAGTTTTCCTCACCTGAGCCCTTTTCTATTCCTGAACAGTTTCCTACAAAGTCCATTACTGTCATTCATGAGGAGGACCAGGACCAGGGCATCCCTCTCTCTCCTGAGCAGGCGCAGGCACTGGGCATCACTCTCACCCCTAGTCAAGCCCTGGCACAGGGAATCACTCTCACCCCTAGTCAAGCCCTGGCACAGGGAATCACTCTCACCCCTAGTCAAGCCCTGGCACAGGGAATCACACTCACCCCTAGTCAAGCCCTGGCACAGGGAATCACTCTCACCCCTAGTCAAGCCCTGGCACAGGGAATCACACTCACCCCTAGTCAAGCCCTGGCACAGGGAATCACTCTCACCCCTAGTCAAGCCCTGGCACAGGGAATCACACTCACCCCTAGTCAAGCCCTGGCACAGGGAATCACACTCACCCCTAGTCAAGCCCTGGCACAGGGAATCACACTCACCCCTAGTCAAGCCCTGGCACAGGGAATCACTCTCACCCCTAGTCAAGCCCTGGCACAGGGAATCACACTCACCCCTAGTCAAGCCCTGCAGACATCACTCTCACCTCTCAGCAGGCCCTGGCACAGGGCATCACTCTCACCCCTCAGCAGGCCCTGGCACCGGACATCACTCTCACCCCTCAGCAGGCCCTGGCACAGGCCATCACTCTCACCCCTAGTCAAGCCCTGGTACAGGACATCACTCTCACCCCTCAGCAGGCCCTGGCCCAGGGCATCACTCTCACCCCTCAGCAGGCCCTGGCACCGGGCATCACTCTCACCCCTCAGCAGGCCCTGGCACCGGGCATCACTCTCACCCCTCAGCAGGCCCTGGCACCGGGCATCACTCTCACCCCTCAGCAGGCCCTGGCACCGGGCATCACTCTCACCCCTCAGCAGGCCCTGGCACCGGGCATCACTCTCACCCCTCAGCAGGCCCTGGCACCGGGCATCACTCTCACCCCTCAGCAGGCCCTGGCACCGGGCATCACTCTCACCCCTCAGCAGGCCCTGGCACCGGGCATCACTCTCACCCCTCAGCAGGCCCTGGCACCGGACATCACTCTCACCCCTCAGCAGGTCCAGGCACAGGGCATCACTCTCACCCCTGAACAGGCCCAAGCACAGGGCATCCCTCTCTCTGCTCAGCAGGTCCAGGCACTGGGCATCTCTCTCACTCCTCAGCAGGCCCTGGCACCGGACATCACTCTCACCCCTCAGCAGGTCCAGGCACTGGGCATCACTCTCACCCCTGAACAGGTCCAGGCACAGGGCATCACTCTCACCCATGAGCAGTTCAAGGCACTGATGGTTACCCTCACTCTTGAAAAATCCCAGGGTTTGGGAGTCACACTCACACATGAACAAGTCCAAGCATTGAGAGCTCCTGTCATTCTCCAGCAAGAAGGGACATTGAGGGGCCATATTACTCCTATCCAGGGCCAGACTCTAAAGGCACCTGCCCAGGCACATGACACAATTCTTACCCCTGAGCAGAGCCAGGCAATGCAGATCCCTGTGACTACTCAACAGGCCCAGATACTTGGTGTCCCTATCACTCAAGGCCAGGATGAGGCATTGGGAGTTACTATCACACCACAGCAGGCACAGGCACAGGCACAGGCACGGGCACTGATGTTCACTCTTACTCCAGAGAACGCGCAGATTTGGGGTATCACACATACCAATGAACAAGCCCCGGCAGTGGGTATTACCCTCACCCCTGAGCAGAAACAAGTATTGGGGGTCCCACTTACCCTTGACCAGGCTCAGGCATTAGAGACCCCTCTCGCTGCAGAACAGGCCTGGAAATTGGGGATCGCTATCACTCCAGAAATGGCTCAGGAAGTATCACACACTCTTTTTCTTAAGCAGGGCAAAGCATTGGGGGTCGAACAGGCTCAGTCATTTGGCACTCCTTTAACTCTGAATCAGGCCCAGGCATTGCGAATCCCAAATGCCTGGTTATCAATTATCACTCGTAGGCATGAACAGTCTTTGGGGGCCCCTCTCACCTCAGATAAAGCCCATGTCTTAGGATCTCCCCTTACCCGTGAGCAAGTTCAACCTTGGGGAGCTCCCTTCACCCCAGGACAGGCCCAGCCCATGGGTATTACTCACATGTCTAAGCAGAGCCTAGAACCCAGAGCTCCTCCCATTAATGAGCAGTTTTCACAAATCTGGGCTGGTCCTTCTTCAGGACATACCCAGGAAGTTGGGATCTTTTCCATTCCTGATAAATCCATCAAACCAAGTGCTCCTCACATGCCTAAGCTGTCCACCAGGTTGGCCCCTTCCACTCTGAAACCATTTCAAGAATCAAAGACTCCTCTCCTTTCTGGGCAATCCACTACATCAAGAGCTAGCTGGCCCTTGGTACCGTTTGCTCTTATTGATGAGAGGACCCCTGGGTCTAAGGTCTCTTCTACTTCTTTGCAGGCATCAGGGTTTCCTTTGACCCAAGCCCCATTTGTCTCTGGGAAATCCCGAGGGAAGGGGAGCTTCCTTAGGGAGCTTCCTTCCTCTAAACAGACACTGGTTTCTAAGGGTCAGGTCACCCCTGTGAAGTTCCTAGCACCACAGGTCCCTCCTACCCCTGGGAAGCTTTCAGTATCTGGGACCCCTCCCACTCTAGGGCAGCCCCTTACACGGGATTCCCCTCTTAGCCCTAGGCAGATCCTCATACCTAGGGACTCTCTGACGCCCCAGTCACCCCTGATATCAAAGCTTCCTCTTGCCTCCAGGCAATCTCTTATATCTGGAATTCCACCTGCCTCTTCACAGATTCCCAGTCTCTGGGCTCCTCTCTTTCCTGGGAAGCCTTTGATTCCTGGGGCCCCTTCTGTCCCTGGGGAACTCATGGAATCTGGTCTCTCCACCTTCTCTGAGCAGCCCCAGGCATTTCAGCTCCCTACCACCTGTGAGCAATCTCCCTATCTACAAGCCCCTTCTACCCTTGGGGAGCTTCCGGCACCACAGACCTTTCCTGGGCAAGCTTTCCCACTACGGATCTCTCCCACCCCTGGGCACCCCCCACCACCACGGGCCCCCTCAACCCCTGCAAAGCCCCCAAAAGATTTGTCTCTGAAATCTAAATCAGCATTGGTCCATCCCGGTGCTCCAAGTTTCAAGGTACCACAAGCCCCTTTCACCACTAAGAAGTTCCAAACATCAGAGGTCTCTGATACTTCTGAAGAAATCCAGGAACTCCGAGATTCTTTTACTATGGAACAAGTTAGGACATTTCAGCCCTATCTCACCAAGTATAGGACACCAGTATCACAAACTCCTTACATTGGTAAGGGGGACCTGCCCCCTCTCATGAAGCCTATAACATCACTGCCTCCTCTTACTACTCAACTACCCAAAACATCACAGATTTCACCTTCCGAATGGGACTGGAAATCCCGATTTCCCCCTATCAGTAAGCCCTGCGTACTGACTTCAGTTTCAGGTACCAAGAAACTCAAAATGATGATACCCGATTCCTCTTTCCAAGAGCTCAAAGAGCAGAGGTATTTTGTTGATGTGAAGGCTCAAAGGAAGAACCTGGTACTCTTAAATCAGACCACAGAAACTTCTGGACACCCTTCAGAGCTACATACAACAGCTAGAAATCTCATAATTGAGACACTTCATACAGACACAGTTCGACTGGGATACCTATTCCGCAAGTACATTGCCTATAGGCTGATCCAGCGTGCAAGGTAGATGTAACTATTACACATTGATTTCTGGTTTAGCTCTGATTTCAAATATGCTCCCACGTTGCCCTATAAGTATATTCATATTTATCAGATCAGTTGTTCTAAAAGATTCTCTTATGGTAGGTCTATGGGATGGAAGCCTATTTAAGATAGCAAAAGGAGATATTTTTTAGAAAATAAATATCATATAATATGATCTATTTCATATGCCAAGGTAAATTTTGTGGATAATGACTGATCCCCATAATAATAATATCTACTTCAAAAGTTTAGAGATGTTTCCAGTTATTCTGAATTTTTTACATCATCTTGGGCTCACCAGAAGATGTATGATTCCTAAAATGGGAGATGGCAGATTATGTACAAGGTGTTGCCATGGCAACTTGACTGCTGGAGTGACCTGAAAGAAACAGATCCTCATCCTGATTTTTAAAAATTGCAAATAGCTCTAACCGGTTTGGCTCAGTGGATAGAGCGTCGGCCTACAGACTGAAAGGTCCCAGGTTCGATTCCAGTCCAGGGGATGTATCTTGGTTGTGGGCACAATCCCAGTAGGAGGTGTGCACGAGGCAGCTGATCGAAGTTTCTTTCTCATCAATGTTTCTAACTCTCTATCCCTCTCCCTTCCTCTCTCTAAAAAAATCAATAAAATATATATTTAAAAAAATTGAACCGCTTTCTTACACTTTACACCAAACAGCTGTTGCCCTTAAAACCCCTCTTCAGCCCGACTGATGAGTCACTTCTATTCCATGTTATTTATTGCAGTTTTATTTTCATGATGTTGAGTCTTTGTCAACTGACCTGACATCCTTAGCATTTGTGTTTTGAGGTTATGAACCTATTATTTTGGGGAAACTTTTTAACCTTAAATTACAAGAAGCTAAACTAAAACCTATAATAGAAGAGGTTATCATTAAATATAGGAAGAACTATGTTATTTATTCACCACATGTTTACTGAATGCCTCCAATGTGCCAAGCATTGTTTTAGTTGCTAGGGATATAGCAGTGAATAAAACGAAGTACCCTGTTCTCAATAAATTTACATTTTTGAGGACAGAATTCATTTGATAACTAAGGATTGAAATAACAAGGTGCAAAAGAAAGACTTATTCAAGATATAATCAGAACTTTTAATTTCAAAGCTTAAATTGAGATTTGTTGGAAAATGGTTTACTCTATATTTGTCTTTAGTTTGTTCTTTCCAAACTGAATATTCCTAGTTTTTAAAAATCTATTTGAGAATTTTAAATAACATGTTCCTGGTCAATCTCCAGTTCTCTTATGTCTTTTTTCCTTAGTTTTATTTAAATTTTAAAAAATAAGTGGCATTCACCTGGTACAATATTTTAAAAGTTCAAATGAGATAAAGAGAAGTCTCCCTAATAATCCTATCCTAGCCTTTAGGCCTCTTCCCCAGGGCTACTAATGCATATGCATAACATTTTCTGCATATGTAGAAAACTACTATGCTCTTTTATCCCCCCCCCTTTTTTTTAACCTT